ATATAGGTGACCTTTGTAGAATGTCAATTTTCTCATTTCTGATACTCGAAATTTGTATCTTATTTTTTTCCCAGTCTGGCTAGAGGTTTATAAATTTGTTCCTCTCCAAAGAAATTAGGTTTTGTTTTCATTGATTTTACCTATTCTTTTTCTGTGTTCTGTTAATTCTGCTTTGTACTCTGAGCTTTATTACTGATTTTTATACTTTGGGTTTGATTTGATCTTTGTTTAGTTTCTTTTTCTTGTTTTAAATGTTTGTTTATTTACTATTTTTGAGGGGGGTGGGGTGGAGCACAAACAGAGGTGGGTCAGAGAGAGACAAGGACACACAGAATCTGAAGCAGGTCCAGGTCTGGGCTGTCAGCACAGAGCCTGACATGGGGTTCGAAACCACAGACCATGAAATCATGACCTGAGCCGTAACTGGATGCTTAACCAACTGAGCCACCCAGGCACCCCTAGTTTTGTTGAGTTTCTTAAGGTGAAACTGAGGTGGGTTTTTTTTTTTTTAGAACTTTCTTTTTTTTTTTTTCTAATGTAGACGTGTAATGCTATAATTTGCTCCCTAACAACTGCTATAATGTCGTGCCATTCTACAAATTTTGATTATGTTGGGGTTTTGTTACTTGAACATTTTCCATTTTCCCTTTTGCTTTCTTCTTTGCCCCATGGGTTATTTAAAAGATGTTATGTAATTTCCAAATATTTGGGAAAGTTCCATATATTGTTCTGTTATTGAATTTTAATCTAATTCCATTGCAATCAGAGAACATATTGTATGTGTTTAAATTCTTTTAAATTTATCGAGACTTGTTTTGGTGCCCAGAATATAGTCTGTCTTGGTAAATGTTTTGTGTGGATGTGAAACACATGAAGTTTTTGCTCTTACTGGGTTAAATGTTCTATAAATGTCAATTAGGTCAAGGCAGTTATTAGTGTTCAAATTGTATTCATCTTTCTGATTTTCTGCCTACTTGCTCCATTTCTTATTACAAGGAGAGTATTGAAATCTCTGGTCATAATTGTGGAGTTCTTGTAATTTTATATTTGTAGTTTTTGCTTCATGTATCTTGAAGCTCTGTTATGAGGCAGAAGGACTTTTGGGACATGCTTTTATTTGTTTTATTTTTTATTTAATTTTTTGAGAGAGCATGAGTGAGGGAGAGGGGCAGAGGGAAAGAGAGAATCCCAAGCAGCCTGTATGACCAGCATGGAGTCCAATGTGGAGCTTGATCCCATAGACCTGGGATCATGACCTGAGCTGAAATCAAGGTTTGGAAGCTCAACTAACTGAGCCACTCAGGCACCCCTGGGATGTGCTTTTAATGAATATGTTCCTTTATTCTTATGAAATGCCTTGGTCATGTTCTTTGTTCTGTGGTCTGCTTTGTCTGATATTAACATAGCTACTTTTGCTTTCTCTTGATTAGTGTTTACAATGTTTTATCTTTCATTATCCATTAATATTGTACCTCTTTGTAGCTTTATATTTAAAGTGTGTTTCATGTAGGCAGCATATAGATGGGTCTGACTTATGTATCCAGTGTGATGATAATCTTTTGTGGGTTGGGCCACTTACATTTAATGTAATGATAGATATGATTAAGGTTAAGTCTGTCATCTTGCTGTTTATTTTCTATTTGTCCCATTTGTTCTTGTGTCCCCATCCTCCCCCTTTTTCCTTTGCCCTGTTTTAGATTAATTGTATTTTTTTTTTACAATTTTATTTTCTCTTTTGTTGGCTTATTAGCTGTAATTCTTTATTTCTCTACTTTAGTGGTTGCTTTAGGGCTTATAATACACATCTTTATTAGCCTATCTTCAAATGATATTACAGAACACAAGAAATGGTTTAAGAGCCACAGTAGTGTACTTCTGTGTGTCTCCTCCCAAACTATGCTATTATAGTTATATGTGTATGTTATAAACCACATGCTGTATTCTTAAAATTATTGTTTAATCCTTTAAAGAGATTTAAACAATTAAAAAAGCCTATATCTTCCCAGGCAGTTATTATTTCCAGTGTTCTTCATTCCTTTGTGTAGATTCATATTTTCATCTAGCATTACTTTTTCTTCTAACGGGCTTCCTGTAACTCTTCTTAATGCAGGTCTGCTCATGATGAATTCATTCATCTTTTTGTGTGTTTGCCTGAAAATTCATTCCCCCCCTTTATTTTTTATTCATTTATTTACTTATTAAAGTGTATTTATTTTGAGAGAAACAGAGACTGTGTGAACAGGGAAGGGGCAGAGAGAGGCAGGGAGAATCCCAAGCAGTCTCTGTACTGTCAGAGTGAGCCCAATGTGGGGCTCCATTTCATGAACCTTGAGGTCATGCCCTGAGCCGAAATCAAGAGTCAGATGCTTAACCAACTGAGCCACCCAGGTGCCCCTGGAAACTCGAAGACCGTAATTTGGAGCAGTTATCTCCTTTGTTTTTGATCTTTCAGGGATCACTCTTTCTTTGCTGATGTGCTGTGTCTTGCAAACCATTGTTTTATATATTTTATCCATTTTGGTTATTTTTCCAGATAGGAAAGTAAATGCAGTCCTTGTTATTTTGTCTTGACTAGAAATAGATGTCAGTCACATATCTCCAACTCTTTTAAATGCAGCATGAAGCAGACTTATCCCCTCTGAACTTGCTTGTCCTCATTTTCTTTTACACATGTTAATTATTTTTGCCCTTGGAGTGCTTTTCTGATCTAAAATTATTTAATTAAATAAAGTAGGACATCATTAGTCTTCCATGACATCTGGTTTTGAAGATCTGATTCAGAGTACATTCCACTTGGGAATGAAAAGAAAGAATGGAAGTATATTATGACAACTTTTGTATTTATTTAAAATCTATACAGTTTAGAAGCGAAGCCAGTATTTTAGCAGAATGCTTAGTAGTATTTAATGTTTCAGTTACAGGGATGTCTGGTGGAAATGTTTTTTCAATTAATCAGTCTGCTTGGCCCTTGCTCAAACTGAAATTTGTCCTGCATTTGCCTTAGTTGTAGTTGTTGTATATACCATATCCATTAGATTATCAGTTAGATTCATACTTTGAAAATGTGCTTCTTGACACATTTAAAACTTAACTGCTAGAATAATTTGAGGAGTTAATTTTTTCAATATATAATCCTTCCGTTATTGTAGATTGCTTTCTTTTTCCTACTTTAGGACATAAACCAGAAAGTCCATTGTTTCTACTCTAAGGTTTTTACCATGAATGCAGTAGAATATTTTCTATTCGAAGAAAAAATACGTTTCAAAGATGCAATCCTACTCTGATCTCTTTCACTGAAAGAAGGTGGTAGAATTTTTTATTTTTTCTATAGGTTTATGAAAGACAACTGACAAAGGGTGATAGGTTGTCTTTATTTTCCTACAAGTAACTCTTAGGGTAAATGCAAAAATTGGCCTTATCTTTTATCTTTGTAGTCTGTAACAATGAGGTGATGACTGATTTTCATAATGAAAGAAACCACTAAAATAACAAAGAATTATAGGTAATAGGCCAACAGAGGAGATGACCCTGAAGCACTATGGAATTTAAAATGAAATCAAGAAGATTAAATTTTAATTAGTGTGGTTTCAGTGATGGAGTGCAGGGTAATATTATGGAGGGGGCCCTGGAATGAATCAAAAGGCTTGAGTTACAGTGTTATTAGCATATCTACTAAATATCTCGTGACTGAGCAATCTCATAAGTGAACTTTAATATCTTCATCGGTCATAACTAAACTAGTATTTAATGTGTGATTCTTTTGTACAGGTACATTGCTGGTAGCTTGCTTATACTTCTTTTAATCCTTATATTAAGCCCACAGAGTAAATCGAACCTGTATTTTACACATGAGGAAGCTAAGGTTTCAAAATGTTAAGTAATATTCAACAGCGTTGAGCAATTAAGTATTCAACTACAAATCGATTCTAAGTCTGTATTTCTCTAAAGCTGTGACGTTTCTTCTATTTTTATTTATAACAAACTGTAGTATTTTTAAACCATGAACCATGATATATGCTAAGATGGTAAATTTCCAGTATATTAATTAGGTCTGGCTCTGTTCTGTCAGTTTTCCTACCTGCAATGTATTTTGATTATTAAAATTTTATTTGCCAGCACCTTGGTTCACCAGTGTTTAACTTTATAGTGATGTCTTCTTCTTCTGAGATCTTAAAGCATTTATTATCTGTAACTTGTTTATTAAATATTTGAGATATATTTAGCCATTTTACATGTGAAATTTGAGATAACTCTTGTTTAAATTTCTACATGTTCATGTATTACTGCTACACTTAAATCATAAGTTCCTTGAGGGTGCTTCTTTATAGCATTGTGCACATAGTACATACAAGTTTATAAATAATTTTGTTACTGAATTCTGTCAACCACATTAATCATCATTCTCAGTTATTCACTTCTCATGAGCAGATTTACCTAAGATGTTTTAAAATTTTCAATTCTGTGACTTTACACAGCATAGTAAAGTTTTTAGAGAAATGATTTTGAAAAATTATGAAGAGTTAGTCAAAATCAAAATTAGCTGATTAAAGTTAGCATGTAGACGTATTTTATTTGGCTAGGAAACCAATTACTTTGTCCCATACCGCATTTTTTTAAGAGTTCCAGAAGCTGGTGTTCTTGCTCCACCTCCCCATCCCCCAAATCAAAGAGAGCAAAGTCTTTGAACAATATTTAGGAGATGTCGGTGGTGTCGACTACTATTACTACTATACTAACTCAGAAGTTAATGAACATTTCTGGGCTTTAGTTTTGTCATTCTTAAAAAAACTGAATTGGATTATATGATCTTTAAAGATACAGTGTTTCAGAATTTATAAAACCTACAAGTTTAAGGTAAATTGCATTTCAGAATTGTAAAGTAGCATTTGATTCTTACACTTCAAAATAGTAGTAGTTTTATGTTAATTGCTTTTTTCTTTAAAAGCATTTGTAATCTTACGTTCTACTTTTATGGTTAATTTTGTTTTCTGACTTATTAGTACTCCCGCACGTGTTGCTAAAGGAGTTGTTGACCACACCAAAATGAGTCTACATGGTGCTAGTGGGGGACATGAACGATCAAGAGATAGACGAAGGTCAAGTGACAGATCGCGAGATTCATCTCATGAAAGAACGGAATCTCAACTCACTCCTTGTATTAGAAATGTTACTTCTCCAACACGACAGCACCATGTTGGTATGTAAAATTCACTAATCTTCCTGATGTTTTTATAAGCATGCAGTTACCTTGTTAAAGCAGTAATGACAGTGAATTGTGCGTAGTACTTCAAGGTAAAATTAACTTCTATTCAGTTGCTTCTATTTAAACTTAGCTTCTTGCTATGAAAAGATCAGTTTATTAAATGAGACTTAAAAATGAATTTTTTTTTAAAGAATCTAGGACAGCCTTCTAAAAGAAGTGATTTTAAAAAGGCTTTAAAACTGTTATAAGTAGATTTTGAAAATCTTTCAAATTGATTTTTATCTTATGAGATACATGGCAGTGGTTTATTTTTTAAATTTGTAGTAAACTATCGATAGTAATTCTTGGTTAATCATGCTAGAAAAGGAAGTAAAAGCTAGAATAACCATCATGTAATTTATTTTGAATTTTGACAGAATTTTTAATTCAAAAAATAGAAGATGAAAAAGAAGGTGTGAAGTGTTTTGTTTTCTTGACAAGTAGCTCAGGTCTTTTTCTTCCTACTTATTACTATAAATGAACATTATTATACTTGAGGTAAATACATTGTGTGACTATAATGCATGCACCAGTCTGAAGCAGAGGTACATAAGCAGTGTGAGCATGCTGATTTTCATTTGCCCCTGGGGAAGGGGCACATTTAATACCTTGACTTAATATTTGAGGTTGTTTTTGATTGTTCCAAAAAATTTTTTTAATGCTTATTCATTTTTGAGAGAGACAGTGCGAGCAGGGGAGGGGCAAAGAGAGAGGGAGAGACAGAATCCAAATCAGGCTCTAGGCTCTAGGCTCTGAGATGTCAGCGGGGCCCTGAACTCACGAATTGTGAGATAATGACCTGAGCTGAAGTCAGATGCTTAACCAACTGAGCCAACCACCCCTGTTTTTGATTGTTATAAATCAAAATCGTTCATCTTAGAGCCTAATTATACAGAGAAGTTATCATATCAATGTCAAAGTAGGTCCTTAAAGTCAAACTAGCACTGATAAGCCAGAAATCAACACAAGTATAAATAAGTTGTATGCTAAGTTCAGTATCTGGGAAGAGAATAGGAGGATGTAATAAATGATTTTATTCAGCAAATTTTGCTTTTGGGATGCTACCAGCATTCTGGAAACAGGCAATAAAATGGAGGTGTCAGAATATCTCTGGAGATATAGCCAACCTAATTATATAATCAGTAAAGCTGTACAGAGTGTTCTAAGTAGCCTGAGTCATGGAGGAATTTGGCAGAAGCTGATGAATCTGATGAGATGGAGGTACATTTTTAGGTCACCTTTAAAGTTTAGTTATCTAGCCTCTAAAGGGAATTTACCACAGAATCTAATCTTAGTTTTAATTTTCCCTTTGTAGAATATTGGAACAGCTAAAGAGTATCTTCTGAATTTTAACACTATTTCCTACCTAATTAAAATTATAGATAGTAATCATATGGTCCTATAAAATTTGTGGCAGTGCTTTTATTCAAGCAAAAGTTATAGCATCAGCTGTTGAAGCCATTTTATTTGGGAGACATTAAAAGTCATTTGAAAAATACAAATACTTTCTGTGTCCTTAGTGACTTTTTCCCTTCCTTTGGGACCTTGCTTTTGTGAGATAAATTACTAGTTTGGTAATGCTCTCATTAACATAGTGAGAGTCCTCAGTTTGTACTTTGTGTTCTCAGAATAGTACTAATACTTTTAGAATTTAGGACAGTTAAAATTGGTATTTTTATTAATCGTTTACTAGCTTTCATTGCTTAGTTATTTGAGTTGGAAGACTATTCTGTTCTTGGGTTTCTGTATATTTTTAAATACAATAATATCATAAAATTTACCTTAATTTTGATTGGTCTGGGTCAGCATTAGCCATCAGTACATCTTTAAAAGAAATCTACAAAAATTAATGTAGAAAACATTTTGGGGTTTTAGGTTTTATTTCTGGGAAATAATATTTATGGTGTTCTGTGGAAATATTACTTGAAATCAAAAAGGAGAAATACTGTGATTTAAAACAACTTTTCTACATCAGGATTTTTAGAAGCTATATGTGGATTTTGAATTTTTTAGAGGACAATTTGCATAGCTTTTTTAAACATCTTTCTTTCAGAACGAGAAAAAGACCACAGTTCCTCTCGTCCAAGCAGTCCTCGTCCTCAGAAGGCATCTCCAAATGGTTCTAGTAGCAGTGCCGGGAACAGCAGCAGAAACAGTAGTCAGTCAAGTTCAGATGGTAGCTGTAAGACATCTGGGGAGATGGTGTTTGTATATGAAAATGCAAAAGAAGGAGCTCGGAATGTAAGAACGTCGGAACGAGTAACACTGATAGTGGATAACACTAGATTTGTTGTAGACCCATCCATTTTTACTGCACAGCCAAATACAATGTTGGGCAGGTTTGTATTATTGCCGTTCTTTGTAGTATTATAAAGCACTTTCACATTATTTTATTTATTTATGTTTTATAGTAATTCTTTCTTGGAATGTAGCATTGCTATTGTACAGATGAACCGAGCTTTGGAGGTTAAATAAAGTGTTCAAGTTAATACAACTAGAAAGTGGTAGAGCCAGGTCTTAAACTTCAAGTTTTTTTTTAAGTACATTTTTATTTTTTATTTATTTTGAGAGGGAGTGTGAGTGGGGAGGGGCAGAGAGAGAATCCCAAACAGGCAGAAGCGAAGCCCGACGCGGGGCTCGATCCCACAAATGATGAGATCATGACCTGAGCTGAAACCAAGAGTCAGATGCTTAACCGACTGAGCCACCCAGGCGCCTCTTGAACTTAGTTTTATTTCTAACCATCTTTGCTGTATCAGCAGGAAAAACAAATGCATATATTAGTTAATGAAGATAGGGTCCCAAACGATCTGCACAGCCGAAAACCTTAAAGTGTATGTGACAAGGTAAATTTAACAGAAATAATGTGCTTTCTTCACCTGGGGGCTCCCAAATTCAACTACCAAATATAGCAGGCATCAGCATTGTTTAAAGAAAAAAACCCACCAGGTTGGTTATCTGAAAAGTCAGCATAAATTGTCAGTTTGATGTAGATACTTAAAAAAAAGAAACATTATTAACAAGTAGTTAGTAGAATGAAGGAGAGGTACTAGGCATCCTCAAATCTTTGCTGGTTCAGAGTAAAGATTAACGTAGTTTGTAGTTGTGGGAACTGCAGTCTTAAGAATGATACAGTCAATATACACTTGATTTTTCAACGTGTCCTAAACTAGGATCAAATACCTTTTCATTGTAAAATTAGTATCTTTTTCTATTCACTCAAGTATAAAAAGAAAGAGCATATAAATGGAATAGAAGTTAACATGTAGAAAAAAACTTGTTTTTTTTTTTTCTAGGTCGCATATGAGGAACCAACTATTTAGAATGTGTCTATGTGTATGTGTGATTTCTTAGTATCTCTGCGTACAGAATAAAAGCTAACGTATGACACTACATTTTCAAATAAATGCTCCTTTTAACATTGGCAATTAGACTTTCAGGAAAAAAATAATTATGGCTTTTATGTATTTTTAGCAGCACAAAGGGGTATTATTTTTTTTAACTTTTTTTTAACGTTTTATAATATTTTTGAGACAGGGAGAGACAGAGCATGAACAGGGGAGGGTCAGAGAGAGGGAGACACAGAATCTGAAACAGGCGCCAGGCTCCGAGCTGTCAGCACAGAGCCCGACGCGGGGCTCGAACTCACGGACCACGAGATCATGACCTGAGCCGAAGTCGGCTGCTTGACCGACTGAGCCACCCAGGCACCCCACAAAGGGATATTATTGATGGGAGGTGTCAGGAGGATGACTTGACACTATTAATACTTTTTATATTTACCTAAACTTTAAAGAAACACACTTAAAAAGTAGATATTTGAAATTTTGTTTCATTTGTTATGCTACATTTAAAAAAGAAAAAACAAAGCCCAACAACATATGTGTGTGCGCGCATATGTGTGTGTGTGTATCCAGATTGATCTGTGTTCTGCTTTTGTAAAAAAAAATTCAAGTATTTAAGGGACACCTGGCTGGCTTAGGCTATAGAGCATGGGATCTCGGTGTTATAAGTTCAAGCCCCACATTGGTTTTAGAGATTACTTAAAAAATAAGTTTGTTTTTATTTCAAGTATTTGAGAAAATTACATGACATTTGATTCCTGAAAGACTGTTGTCTTTTTTTTTTTTAAATCAGTGAAGTCATCTTTTCCAACGTCAGTTGAGTAATTAATGAAAATTAATATTCATGGGAACTGTAAAAAGCAGTTGGCATTCTTTTGGAAACTTTGAAATGAAAAAGCTTTGTTTTTCATAGATTTCTGTGTTATAATAAAAGAGGAAACCATTTTAATTGGGAAATTGTTGAGTGGAATACTCAGCCATGTTTACTTTAGGAACAATGGTATCATGGAATTCTGAGGTTCAACTTCCTTTAATCACAATTTTTAAATTTTCTTGGGAAAATTTCAAAGAACGTATTCTGCAAGTTGCCTCTTGTCAAAATAGTTACTGTTAAAGGGCCAAGAGTATTACTTGAAAAAATACAAATTGGTATTTTCTTATGTAAAAATTAATGTTAAGAGCTTTTTACTCATTTGTTTAAACTTTTCATTCATCTCTTAACTTCTTCCTTCCTCTCTACCTGAGCATTTGATTGCTGTTTTTTTCAGTTCTAAGATGCAAGTGTAAGAATTCCGAGTGATATTTCTTAGATTTATAGTTAAAATTATGAAAAGTGAAACAGCCTCATCTGCCTTTTTCCTGTATGTGCTGCACTACAGCATTAACTTTGCAGTGAAGAAGGCAGCAGTCTTAAGGAGAAGGCACAGATAACATGGTTTCCTTTTTCTTTTTCTTTCTGGTAAGATTAGTATAAAAATCATCTTTCCCCTTAGACTGATTGATTGATGGATTTTTTTTCCCCCTGAGAAGCAGGAGCTGGAAAGTTCTTTAGCTTCAGAATTTTATCATTTGATTTTGTTTGCTTATAGGGAATCTATACTCTTGTTTCCTCCCATCAGAAAGGAAGTGCTTTTACTATTTCTTCATTTGTTATATTTGCCAGAATAAATTGCTGATAAGAATTTTTGAGGTAGGGGCACCTCAACCTCAATGGCTCAGTTGGTTAAGTGTCCAACTCTTTGTTTCAGCTCAGGTCATGATCTTACAGTTTGTGGGATCAAGCCCCGCATCAGGGCTCTGTGTTGACAGCATGGAGTCTGATTGGAATATTCTCTCTCTCTCTCTCTCTCTCTCTCTCTCTGTCTCTCTGCCCCTTCCCTGCTTGTGTGCTTGCTTTCTCTTTCTCTGTCAAAAATAAAAATAAAGAATGTTTTGAACTAATCTGATAAATTTTAATTCCTTTTTACTTATGTACATGAAATAAATTTTCCCTCTGAAGGAAGTATCGTGTTTGTTACATTTCTCAATTATTTATCATCATAGGATGTTTGGATCTGGCAGAGAACATAATTTTACACGTCCCAATGAGAAGGGAGAGTATGAAGTGGCAGAGGGAATTGGCTCCACTGTGTTTCGAGCTATTCTGGTGAGTGCTTGTTTCTTACATGTATTTGCTAAATCACATAACCTCTTTTTGGCAGGTACTTGGACTGGAAGCAGAGTTCGATTTGTATATCTGTATGCAGAATATTGTTTTAAATAATACTGATATTATTAATTATTATTAATAATTAATTATATAATTAACATTATATTATAATATAATTAATATTTTATATTATATTTTATATAATATATGATTGATACAATTGATATTATATTAATATAATTAATAATTATTAATATTGTTAATATTAATATTGTTTTAAAAATACCATTTCATTTATTTTTATTTTAGTGCATAAAGGTAATACGACACAAATAAATGAATTTTATGACTTTTGCACAGATAGGACAGGGGATGATTTACCTCTTAGGTATAAATAGGCAGTTCTTTCAAGGGTTTAGTGATAATACTTCTGGAGTCATATTACTCCTCCCTTCCTAGTTCTCTTAAATACAATAAGTTGATCATTTTTTGCTACCTGAGAATGAATGAGACTATATGAATTTTAATATTTTATTGCACATAGCTGGCACTGTGGACAGTTATGAACATGTAAAAAGTCATCTCCAAAATGTAGTTGTTAGCATCTTCATTTTAAACCTTGTTTTGAGATTTTCACCTTTTATTTTGATGAATATTTGAATTAGTATTAGAGTCCCTTCTTATAATTTCAAATTAGTGATAAAGATTTGATTTATAGTGTGTGACAGTTTATGCCACGGTCTGAAAATACGGTTTCCTGAAATAATTTTAGGGAAAGTAGGCAGGGGGATCCTGAGGTACAAGATAGGAAAAGAAATTGATCTTGATTGGGTTGTTAGTACTTGGACAACTACCAGAAGACATCTTGCTTCCACTGGTGTAGCAGCTTTATTAAGTGCGTTATTGTGGCTCAGAACCACAAGGAAGCTTGATGGAGGGGTGGGGAAGATCTTGATTTGGGGGATAAGTGCTTACAATTCCACTTGACCCTCCAAGTAGAGGTGACAAGAAGTTTGGGGGCTAACCCTTAACTTTTCAAGTAGATTTTAGAAATGAGGGCTATTGATTGTTCATCATAAAATTGGACACACCAAAGAATAGTATTTGGAAGACTATCTAACTGTGCATTCTGTTTATATATTTTAATATTTGGATATGACTTTTAAGTTCTTTATTAAGAACCATAAATTTTGCTCAATTTTCTCGGTAATATTGAAGGTAACTTAAAATCTGTCACTTAACTTTCTTTTTTTTCAGTTTATTTATTTTGGGAAAGAGGGAGAGGGGAGGGAGACAGAGAGAGAATCTGCACTGATAGTGCAGAGTCTGATGCAGAGCTTGAACTCACAAACCATGAGATCATTACCTGAGCTGAAGTCAGATACTTAACCAACTGAGCCACCCAGGTGCCCCTTACCTTTCTTTTTTAAAAAAAGTTTAAAAAATTGATGATAGTTATATAGAAAAATAACTTGCAGAGGGGAAAATACATGTGAATTGGCATGATACAGTAGAGAGAAGAAATGCATCATTAATGGGGAGACCTGGGTTCTAATCTTTCCTCTGCTATTAAATAATCATATGACTGGGTGAGTCAGTGAACCCAAGTTTTCATATTGGTAAAATGAAGAAGTGGTTAGATGAACTGAGGTCCCATCTAACTTTAAAATTCCACAGTTCAGAAATCTCAGAGCTCCACTGTTTTTGAAAATGCTGCCAGCTTAATTTTAATAAAAAGGTTTTGGACACCTTGTGCTCTAGATGTTTTATGCATTCTTTACTTTTTTTGTAGGATTACTACAAAACAGGAATAATCCGTTGTCCTGATGGCATATCTATTCCTGAACTGAGAGAAGCATGCGACTATCTTTGTATTTCTTTTGAATATAGTACTATTAAATGTAGAGATCTCAGTAAGTATGATGTTTTTTGTGTAAGTGGTTTGTAGAGTTACAGTATTGGAATGAAAAGCCTGAAATAGTGCTATTTACCTAGGCATCAAATATTTAATTGGATTATAAAGCATTCTAATACCATCAGGATGATTTGTGGAAGTCTACAGAGATCTTTACAAGATCTTGTGCAATTTTCCAAAACTTTTTAGAAATTTTATGTATATATTTATGTATGCATGTATTTATTATTTGATAGACTCTCCCAGATTTCCTCCTTGATCCGTGTCTCTGTCTTTTGTTGCAACTCTTTATCTTCCAGCTTGGGAACCCTGGCTTTGGTCAAGTACGGTATTTGGCCTCACTCTTCAGATCACATCAACCAAAAATTTAACTATATTTGTACTTTGCATGTGAAATAATGTCTTAAGCCCCTGTGGAAGATAAAAATAATTCTCAAAAACAGTATTTGTCATTACAGATCTTAAACTGGATACTTAACCCTCAGTTCATAACAAGGGCCAAGTCACTTTGAGAACATCAAACAGCCTCAGAGCAGAGTCTAGAACTTTGGAAATCCTAACTTTTTGATATTTTCCCCTCACTACCTCCACAACATCCCTCGCTCTCATTGTTATGCCATGCCTGGGGTGGGGTGAGGAAGGGTGATAATACACAGAAAGGTTAAAATAGAATAGCAGAATTTTCAGATGTTGACTTGGATGTTAAGTGGTTGAAGAAGTTCAGGAGAGGTTATTGTGGGCTAGAAGGATTGAGAAAGAGTTCAGAAGAAGCAGGTAGTAAAGAATAAATAGGAATAACTTAGAAAGAGTAGAGTAGAGAGGTAACTCTAATGTTGAAATTTTTGGAATAAAGATGCAAAAGATATATTTTGAAAACAACCTAGTTGGAGCAGAGACTTTGTATCAGTACCAGAAGGAGATGGGAATAAATAAATGAACCACTTTATGGAAAGTCTTTAAATCCAAACTCATGTTCTTATATTTTTATCCTATATATGGTGGAAAGCCACTTAAAAAGTTTCCTATGCATGGTTATAACCTTGTTAATCTCAGCCTTATGGTTATCTTTACCTGATTAACCTAAACTCAACACTAGCTTGGCATACCTTCTCAAAAGTTTAGTGTGTTAGAAACTGGGAATGGAAATATTATTTAGAAATTTAAGGCACCTACTGTATGCTTCAATATGGCTATTTTTTTTTCATACTTAGTTAAGCTCTCATTGAAAATATGTGGCCTTATTAAGTTTTTCCCTAAGTACCACTTTATTATTGCCAAAAATTCTTTAAAAACTCTCCATAAAAATATCAGTAGGTTGAGACAAAGTGGCTGGTCCACCTCTGAGTCCATTTCTCTAGAAATGATATTTAAAAGTTTAAAGTCAGATAGTTGGACAGGTAGAGCATACATGTGTAAACACAAGCAAAGTTTCTGTGTTTTCACATCTTGAAAAATGTTTTTACTAAACCATGAGCATTATTACAGATTTTTTAGTTCATGTCTTGTGTTTTTTATTCATGGGACCATTTTTAATTTCATTTCATATAATTAGATGTTGAATTTTGGTGACTGTCAGATAAAAAATTGATGTGGATTTGGTTTTGTAATCCTTTGGACATAGACCTTGTCATCACTGTTAAGTCTCATTTATTTGTTATGGAATTAAAGGTAAGAGTCTTTATGTAAAATACATGCCAAGTGGTTTTTCTAGACTTTTGGCTTTTAAATAATTATTTGTAACTGTTTCTAGAGTATTTGTAATACACGGTTTTTTAAAATGTAGAGATTCTCATAGACTTTATTAAAACTATACAGAATTTGAAGAGACAAAATGGCCTTTTAAAAACATAAAAGGATAGTGTAGGTGTAGGCTTGAGTCAAAACTGAATTTTTTCCTGCTAAGATGTGTCTTAACTGTATACTGGAATGGCACTTTACACTAAGATGTCTGTCTCTCTTAACTTAAAACCATACAAGTACTAAATGTTTATTGAATAGAGAGTACTGGGTTTTTTGGACAAGTTATTTAAAACTTTGTTTCTTAGTTCCCTCATCTTAAAATGGAGACAATAATATTACTTATTTCACAGGGTTGTTGTGAAGATGAAATGAATAGTGCTTGACACATAGTATTATATAAAGGTTTCCTTTTAAAAAAGATAGCAAAATTAGGAAATAAAAGTAAATTTAAAAAGTATTGTATCATATTGTACATGCTATTTTGTAGTATTTTTACATGGAAGTATATTGTGAATAATTATATTAGCAAATATGTTTTAATAATAACTTATTTAATGGCTTATCTGTCATTTTCTGCATTTTTATTGAACACATAGTTTATACCAAATATTAGGTATGTGAAAGGCAACAAAAAAAGACAGAGTCCCTGCTTTCATGATGCTTGTAGTATTGTGGGGAAGACAGACAAGTAAATTATATTATGGTGTTAGAGAAATAATAGAGTACTAAATGAGAATATAGGAGCCATACCTAACTCAGGAGTGGAGGCTTAAGGAAACTTTCTGGAGGAAGGGGAAAAGAAAGTATGTTCCAGACAGAAGGAATTGTATGTTCAGATTAGTACAGGAAGGAACTGACTTCTTAATCTTCTGTCATAGAACTTACCATATAGTGAAGGAACTCTATGGTAAATAGTAGCTCCCCAACTATGCTGTAAATTTTTTCAGTGTCCATCTTCTCAGGCAAACACTGTAATCCACATAAGGGTTTGAAAACCACAGCTGAACTCAGGAATGAAAGCCCAGGGCTAAAAGAAATGAAAATATAGTATCCGTGGGTAAAAGTGGTATGGAAAATGAAATTTAAAGTTTGAATAAAGCACCAGTTCAGAGGGCCCAAGAAGAAAGACACTGTAGGTAGGACACAATGGGACTGCAACCAAAGACTAAAAAACTAAAGTTCTACCAAAGCTATTGAGAAAGGGAGATCAGAGGTAGAGCCTGCTTATGGAGTCATGGAAACAGAGAGACACTGAAATGACAAGAGTGTGTGTTCTTTCTCTCTCTCTGTCTTGCTCTATTTTTTTTAGTTTGTAGCATTAAACCAGTTTGAACTTGAGGGTAGGGACTGTACCTTTCCAGCTTTGTGTCCATAGTGCCTGACACATGGTAAGGAAGGACTCAATAAACATTTGCCAAATAAGTAAATTATTTTATCCCTCATGCATTTTTTAGGACCCTATTCCAATTCTTGTCCTCTTCTCTAGTACCATTAGTCTTTTCCTCTCTATGTAATCTTCAGCCTCAGGCTCAAATCTGACCTATGTCTGTTGTAGATATTAAAAAACAATTATTTAAAATATTTTAAGTGAAGGGACGCCTGGGTGGCTCAGTTTGTTAAGCGTCCAACTTTGGCTCAGGTCACCATCTTGCAGCATCAGGCTCTGTGCTGACAGCTCACAGCCTGGAGCCTGCTTCGGATTCTGTGTTCCCCCTTCTGTCTTTGCCCCTCCTCTGCTTGCACTGCCTCAAAAATAAGCATTAAAAACAATCAAAAAATAAAATATTTTAAGTTTTTCATTGGAATTATTTGAAGTTAATGTTTTAGAAGAATTAACATATTTACTGTACCGTCTCCTCC